AGGGGGCACGGTGAGTGATGGGCGCCACGGCCCAGGCACCGGGGGATGGGGTGGATGAGCCTGGAACCAACGGACGGGGACGCAGCGACGGGCGCAGGGTGCGCGTCTGAGGTGGGAGCGAGGCGATGGAGGCGGGCTGCATGGCCGTCCCACCAATCGCGAGGAGGCGGCGGACGCATGTCGCCAGCGGTCCCCATGGGCACGGCCCCCTAGGTGGGCTCGTGAAAAGTAGACACGGGCGGAGGGCACAGAGTGTAGGCGCGCTCCGAGGAAACGAATCGGCGCTTCCACGATACCGTCCGTTGGATCAATATCCGATCGGACGTCCAGACGCCAGCAATTCCATTTGGGAAACGCCCGCTCGCCTTCGTTTTCAACCGGCCAACCCGCGTTGGTCGCAGTCCGTATGGTGGGATTTTTTGGCGTTTTCGGCACCAGGTGCAGACCTGTGGCACCAGTTGGGCTGGTGGGCTGGAGACTGGCGTGAGGGAGGCTAGCTAGGTTGGCTCTGAAGAGTTGTTCCATAAAATTTGGGCCAAGCACCAAGCTACAGCCCCCCAGCCGGGCGTGGATCCGCCCCGATCCCACATTGACAAATACTAGTCCATCATGTGTGCCCACGCGCGCGTTGGCAATCGGTTGGAAATGCAATCGCAGATCTAAACGTGTCTATATATTTTTTCAAGATCGGAGCATGGAATTAGGCAGTATAGAGAAATAGGAAAGTCAACCCCTCTCAAATCTTTTTTTGTAACCTTCGAAATACATGAAAGGAAGATGGAGAGGAAAAGTACCTAGGTGAATCACAGAGGAGATCTGGGTTCAGAAGGGGTGCATTCATGGGTCAGTTTGAATCATAGCTGTAGCTCTCCTTGTGAACCTGTTGCCTTGCACGATGGATTTGATAAACATCAGCTGTAAAGTTTAGATATGGTAAAATGATAAACAGCTAAGGTAAGTGTCCACAAACCAGAACTCTCTTAAGATTGTAGGTACCTGGTAGCTCTTTATTTTACCTAATAATTAGTCAGTATATCTAATTGCATGAAGAGATTAAAATATATATGAAGCAACTGAAGCAAGATCAGGTGAAAGTTCCGTGATTCAGAACACAGAAATTATACAAAAGATCCTGTACAGAAATATGTGGCAACCGTCTCCATCTGCTGGTACAAACCACTATCAATCAAATATACTTTCAACACTATGAACAGTTTTTTAAACAGGCAAAAGGAAGAGTAAAGAGAACTCACCTATATTTTAGCAATAATGGTCTACCCAGATGGATGGTTTGGGACCAAACATAACATGGAGAGCAGCAGGGCAGGGAAAAATATAAGCAGAGTACAATGTGTTTGAACATTTCTTACTCCAAAACTTCCTTTTCCAATGAACGATTCCAATGCTTCAGCTCTAGCTATCATCTCACGTGACACCATGCTGTAGACCTGAAGGAAGACAGTGGAGTGATGAATCAAAGTGCAGCTTTCTTGCCTAGATATTGCATCTTGGTAACTAAAATCGAATCAATAAACACAGCAATGAACAGGAAAATAGCCACAGTATTAATTGATGCTTTACTTCTAATGCATAATTTACGTTTTGTCATCCTAAAATAAGCAATTGGATATAAAACAACACAAACCCTACCGTATGCTAAAAAAATAAGGCTTGCATGTAGCAGATGATATAGCCAAAGAAAAGTGAGAAGCAAACCCGCAGCAAACACCCACAAATTTCATTCCCCTAAGTATCGGATCATTTTGGATGCGCAAATACAAATGAACCCACCCTTTTTTTTTCTATGAACCCGCGATCATTTTAGTTTGAAAATAGCCAAACACAAATTAATACATTAAGATTTTTAAGACAGTATTACAGGAACTTCATCGAGTAATTTATGGCTACAAAAATTATGTAAGCAATTTCCGGACTACATCTTACATGACATCTAGATGGAAGGGCACAAATTTGCAAACCATTGCAAATCCAAAAATTCAGTGGCAATCTAGAAGCTGTGAGGCAACACAAACGGACAAACCTGTCACAACCGACAAGAAGTGGCATGCAACCTTTGAACAAGCAGAAGAGCATGACATCCACGTTACTGGCATTCCCGTACAACATGAATCCATGTGCCGCTAAACGAAGCTAAGAAAGAAAGCAAACTAAACACTTGGCTCTGTAACAAATCCGAATAAATCAATCTTTAAATCTAGGAAACTAAACACTGTAGCTGAAGCACAAATAGAGTAGGGGAAGTGCCCATAGCCATCCATACCTGGTGGCTGGGCTTCTGTGGAGCAGGAGAGAGGCGAGGAGGGGGTGACCCGCCTCCGTCGCCATGAACTACGTTTGGAGGGGTGAGGCACCGCCGATCTGCCGCCAAGTTGAGCCATCGGTGCCATCACTTGAGAGGGAAGACGCGATGTGTAGCTAGGGTCGCTCGAGCACAGCACCTAGGGGTTTCATGGGAGCAGAGGAGCGAGGCGCAAAGGCAGGAAGGAGGCGCGCGCTGGGGGCACCTGGCGGGCGGCTAATGGCGGGCACGACGCGTGCAGCGTTAGGCCGGGACGCCACCGCTGGGCCAACACGCTGAGCTCCAGCGCAACCCGGGGCCAGCGTGACGCCGCCCGCGCCTCACGCGGTGAAGCGACGGCGCCGGGGCCCGCGGCCACACGGCGCCACGTCGGGAGAGAGAGGGAGAGGGAGACAGGAAGGAAGGGAAGCCGGGGGCGGAGGCAGTGGAGGCGGCGTTCATGACCGGGAGGAGAGGCGACAAGCTCGAGAGAGGAAGAGGAGGCGAAGTTATTTTCAAAGAATCCGTAGGAGAAGCGAAGCTATTGTTTATATTTGGTCGACCGGATTCGGACCAACCACGTGAGAAGCTGGTAAAATCAACGCAAAGCGACAAGGATCTGCATGAAGCTGATTCGAACGAAAGATGCTACAAGCAATCTGGACCACACGATGAAAGATCGGATGACAGGGGAAATTTAGGGTGACGTGGATGGCTTGAGAGGCGGCCAAAACAAACTGCTTTGATATATTAGAATTCTAACCTTGAAGCCATCACGTGCGTAACCTATGTATACTGTATACACATGTAAGATATGTTTCATAATAGCATAGGCGGGTAATTTATATGTAAATTTAGATCGTTATTTTGAATTATTGTTTCACAATAGCATATTGTTGATAATTAAATGTAAATTTATGTGGTTGTTTTATGGGCATTGTCTTAGTTACAACCATGCGATTTTTTCATCCGTCCGCCCACTCACAAGCCACATGCAAACCAAGACGCGACCTTTCTTCCCCACCGGGGCCCACATCTCTCTCATGAGAATTTGTCTTCCACCTCTCTCTCTCTCTCATCTCCAGTGAGCTCCTCCCATGCGGCTGCACTCGCGCCACAACTCCAGGCGAGCTCCTCCCAAGGGCACGCCTTTGCACCCCCACCATGCCCACAAGTGAAGCCCACACCCGTGCCCCCCACCACTCCCGAGCCCTCACCGTTAGGGTTTGGCGGGCGGCGGGTTCAACGCCAGCTAGGTATGTCCCCTTGTCCTCCTCCAGCGCCCGCTTCTGCCCCCCCCTTCTTCCCCAACTCCGGTGTGCTTAGAAGAGAAGGGGTTTGGTGGGGAGGATGGCCCGACGGTGGGGATGGCGGGAGGACGGTTTAGGGGCCTTGCAGTGGTGGAGGCGGCCAGGTAGGGGAGCTCCATGGCTATGGCGGAGCTCTGATTTAAAAACCTAGCCTAGCGCTGTGACGTGAGGGAGGGGGCAGTGGCGGGGCGTAGGTCGTGAAGAGGAAGAAGACGACGGACGGACAGGGCGGAAGGCAGCCGGGCAACTCGGGTTAACGGTCGTAAGTGCGGCGCCGTCTTACTTTACGTAGTTTTTATAATGGCTGAAGTGAGTAACCTTTTAGAAACGGAATATATCCTATGACTGTGACTATTATTGGTGGTGGTGATTAGACATCAAAAGGTGATACGTTTTGGATTGTTGTGAGAATTTTAAAATTTTTCTTTTTTTCAAGCGTGTCTCATGAAGATTAATAGGAGGCTTCTAATTAGTAATACACTAAGATGAGATCCTTCCTACCATCTCCTCACGTTGCTACATTTTAGAGTTCTCAAATATGAGTCCCATATACTCGTGTAGCATTCATACTGATTCAGGTGCAATAGGCATATTGATTAGGGTTATGGAATTTGCCCTATCATTTACTAATGTTGCTAACTCATGCTACTTTTTAGTTTTGGGTATGCTCATTTAGTCATTTGCACGTTTCCTTTTTTCCACTGAGTTGTTTCATTTGTATTTATTTAGGTAAACACTTTTTCACCATATATAGCTTCAGCGTTCATACGTACGTGAAAACAATTCCGTGGTAAACAGCCCAACAGGAACAAAATCGAAGCGAGAAAAGGTGTTCCACATTTGCTTGAAACCACTCCAGTCATCGTGTTACTTTCGGGTCAAAACTGATGAACAATCTGGTATTTACATGGCACAAAATATGTCCAAAAAGAACTTTGCATTGTCGGTCATGGTACATTGAAGGGGGTAGGGGCGGGGGACTCTGATTACGTTACAGGTATATATAATTTGTTAACCTTCAATCTCAACAATTTCTTCGAACAAAAAAACATATCCTGCACCTAACTACTGATATGCTGCACAAATCACCAGTTACCAATGTTGTTTCTTGTTTCAGACGAGTGGAGTCGACAAAGAAAACATGAGATACTAGCTTGATACAAAATCACTCTTAAGTTCAACTTGTATGGTAGCAGTGGCGGAAGTAGGATGGGAACAAATTGAGGCTAAATAATGAAGATTTAGGGCTAGGACTAGAGATTAATGGTGATTTGAGATTAAGCAACCGTGGTTTAATGAAAAAATCAGGCTCACTAGGGGTTGTAGCCCCGGCAGCCCCCCTTTGGATCCGCCCCTGTATGGTAGCCTTAGGTGCCTCAAGCTCCTACAAACTACGCGCATTCTGCCGGAGTGTGCTTTCTCCACCTCCTCAATATATGAATGCAACCCCCAGCTCCTAACAGACCATAGGACGCAAGACTCAGGATGGTTGAATTTGTGACGCGTCGATGGTGGGCTCCCTGCAGACGAAAGAAATGATCTCAGCATTGTGCGAACATTTGCGCAAAAATGTATGTTCACTCAAAAGAGGACTTCAGATGGATACCTGTAACAAGAAAATGAAGATGGCCGCATTTGCAAGCGACAGTGAAAAGCTCATCATGCCCCCACGCAGCTCATTTGGTAGGTACCTACAGTGATGCAAGCATTGTAAACAGAAAGTACTAGACTGTAATTTAAGCTTGATCGTAGTATCGTACTTGCACCAGTAACTTACATTGTTCTCAATCTTGCTAGTGAAGGCAAAATAAAGCCCACACATGCATGGAAGATGCAGAACACTATCACCAGTGGTCCAATCTCCTGTTGGATGAATATAACTTCTCATTAGACTTTGAACGCCAATTTCCAACTACATGTAGTTGCCTTTAGAGGTATGCATGCATGGGATACCTGGTAATCATAAGCCACAATGGACAAGGCGAGTCCAGCGCCAATGTATGCCATTGTCAAGCTGTCCTCATTCCGGAAGGAGCCGTGGCTCCATAAAACCATGGAAAACCAGCACTTCCAAGCATTCTTGATGCCAACAAACAGGGTAAATTACTGACAATTGAGCATACCTTCCGTCAGTCTGTGTCAATGAACAGATCTATGAGAACGGTAGCAGAATTTCAGCCTCAAGTTTCTGAAACACTATTCATACAGACGACCAGGCAAAAACTAGCAGGCTGAGACTCATACCACTATGGTTGGTGCCGAGAGAAACCAAAAGGTTGAGAGAGCAAAATGGATGCTTGCTTGAGCTAAGACCAGGATCAGTACTCTTTTGTCTGAAACACAATAATTGTGGTCAGAAATGGGAATGGAACATGCAAGCACTGAAAAGCTTAAACTGCAACAATCATGATTCACGAGTTCATATTGTGAGAGATGGAAAAGCTGCTTCCTTTAATGCATTTTTCACATCAAAATTCAGGAACATCTCTTAAATTTGACTCAAGCAATTCCTCATATGCTAAATGTATTTCAACAAACCCATAAATACCTGGTCATATTTATTTACAAATTACAATTATGTTAAATGTATTTCCTCATAAGCAGTCTTGGTCATATTTATTTACAAATTATAATTATGTCTCATATTAAAATATTCATGGTCAATATTCAACGAAGTCGATTGCAATATCTTTAAAAGGTTACAGAACTGCATATGCTTTATAATGAAATCGTGAAGACTACTACAGATCAAACACAATCTCATCAGACATTGGCCAACTTATTTTCTCAGTTGTATCTAGATATGGTAAAATTTGCTCCTGGACATTATTTATGTAATACAGGTAGAGCTTTATCAACAGAAATGAGAAAGAAAGCTCTGGGGCAAGCAGGAGGACTCAGCACTCACCTCTGAGGACATGGGCAAAAATGATTTTGGTAGCTCCCAATGGCAGACGCATGGTGACTGGTACTTGATGCATTTCTGATATACAGAATTCCAACTACTGATATTGTGGCTGCAATATGCATAGTGAAGCAAGAATCTACTGTCATCATCACTAACGAATACATTTGTGATTTCTTGACTTCCAATAAGGGACACCGATTCAAAGAATGTCATCAGCCAGAATGTATTAAACAGAAGATCTTGCTTCTGGTCTTGCTGATAAGTCAGGATCAAGCACTTAATGATTCATACAGCACAGAGAACACAGTAATAGCACTTAGGTGTTTCAGAAAATACACAAACCTTCTCATGCTCCAGCACAAGCCACGTCTCAAAACAGAAAGAGAACACTGAAGAGGCAAAAGCCAGAATGAAATTGTTGATCCATGAACAGCTAACAAAAGCACACTGAAACTCTTCCACAGCACCTACTGCAAGCTGAAGTGCCCAGTCAATGCAAGCACTTCTGTGGTCCCCTATGATCATCAATGAAAACATAGACTGCTCACACTTCACAGCTGTATCATATAGCAGTACCTGTGCAAACTTTTTCCTCTCTCGGCGCCCCAACAGGCGGCTCGGGGGCACTCACGGCGCAGCCCCAGCGCCCGCTCCTGCCCCTCTCGGTCAGCCGCCGCCTCCTCCAGCGTGAAGCGGCGGCGGCCCGCGACGGCTCCGCAGACAACCAGCAACCGCCGCAGCCCCCTTCCTCCTCCCCTGTTCCTCCACCACCCTCCTCGGTCCACACCCACCGATGGGCTGGCCGGCCATGGCAGGGCGGATCCGCCTCCCCGGGGCCACAAATCTGGCTCACACGGTGGTCGGCGCTCTCCCCTCTTCGGCGTAAGCTCCTCCCGTCCGGCGACCATCGCGCGCTGTGGCCGCGATGGCTGCTCCGGCACCCCCTCCTACCTCCGGGCGGCCGGCGGAGCCGAATCCGCCCTCCTGGGTCCGGATCTGGCCACCCAGCTGGTGGTGGCCTCCCTTTCAGCGCGTTCTCCCGGTCCGCGCCTCTCGCCTACCTCCGGCGTGTTGGTTGGTTGGGGCCGATCCGCCCTCCCTCCCGGTCCGGGTCCGCCCATCGCGGTGGCAGCGCATCTCCCTTGTTTGCATCATGGCTCCCCCGAGCTCCGTGGTGCGACGTGGGTGGCGCGTGGGGGTGACTGTCGGGCTTCGCGGTTGGCGCATGTGGCCGGCGGTGTCGGGGCCGGTGAAGTGTTCGCCGTTGAGGTTGCTGGGGCAAGTTTGGGGATGTAAATCCCTCTTGGTGCTTCTCCCAATGAAGTTGGAGTCCGTGGATGTCATTCCCTTCTTGATGGCTTTGTTGATGCACTCCGCCTGATCCCCCTTGCTCTCGCCGGAGTCGCTCCTTCCTGTGTTGTGCCTGCATGTGCGCTCCAAGCTCATCTTCGCAAGGATCTGTCTAGCATGCTTTATGTTGCTGCCGTCGATTGTTCTTTGACGGATGCTTTGCCGTCGTTGCTGTTTGGGATGCTTTGCCGCCTTGTCGCTTCGGGCGCTCTCCTTGGGGATGCTTCACGCCGGGGATGCTTTGCCGTCATGGCTGAGGGTGTGATGGCTCCCTTTACTGAGATACTTTATCGCGTTCTATCCGGCGGATGCTTTTGCCGCTGTGTTGCTTTCGAACCGGACTTGCTGCCGCAGCCTTTGTCGCTTCTTGGTGGATGCTTTGCCGCCACGGCTTCATCTCTCGTCGGCCGGCACCCTTGCGTTGATGTATTTTACCTTGCGGTATAGTCAATTAGGTGCTAGGTGGGTGGCTCTCTGTGCCCTATCGTGCTTCAACTCTATCTTCACATTGGTTTGTCCTTCTGTTTGTTGTTGCCACCGTCGTTCGGTTTGTTGGCGGATGCTTTGTCATTGTTCTTTGTTTGGGTGGATGCTTGGCCACCCTCGTCACTTTTGGTCTCCACGCTCGGTCACCGCAGAGCGTGTGATGTCCCTCATTACGGATGCTTTGCCGTAATGGTCCTTTTCGGCGGATGCTTGGCCGCCATGGTCGTTTCTCGTCGCGGATGCTTTTGCCGTTGTTGTCATGCTTAGCTCCTTTGGCTTCCTATGGTGAATCTTGGCTATCGCGCTACACTACAACTTAGGCTACCAATGTGTTTGTCTTCTGTAATAGGCTCGGTCTGTCTGGGTTTGTTGGTGGAGGCCCACCCGTGCAACTTTCTTCTTTATCGTTTGTGCTTGTGGGATTGAGCTAGTAATTCTAGGATTACTGGCGATCTTTTTTTGTAACAAAAAAACTTTGCTACCGCTTAATGAAATCCGTGCACTGTGGTACATTCGAAAAAAGCACTCAGGCAAAGCGATTCATGTAGCTTATGAAACAAAAAACTACACCGCAAAGAAAAGAGAAAACTACACATTCTAGGTTAGCGGCGGCGGTCTGTATTCATTTAGTTCTCGGTGCGTGTTCTTTGACTTGGCGGGATACATCGAATGCAGGTAATGGTATTAGATAATCACGCTACCTTGTGTAGACATGACAAAGAGGAAGGCGTGGCGAAAAGGCCCTATTTGTGATCTGATGAATCCTTTAGATACGGTACACCAATGACGAACTCACCCGCCTTGTTACTATGAAGCACATCACGCGATGCTTAAGTGTGGCAATCAGCATATGTTATCTAGTCCTTTGCAGCGCAGACGCAAATTGTCTTTTGAGACTAGATGGATAGAGATTGTATAAATAGACTACCCGCAGCAACTTTCGGTAAAAGAAGTTCAGATTGCCATCTCGACTGAGGCTGGGCCGTATGGCCCCAGTGTCTTTGTATTGTGCATACATGCTCTGTTCTCCTTCTTCCAAGCTCTAGCCATAGTGTGTAGGGAATGAACACTTCCATTAAGTGAGTAAAGCCGCGGCTGAGTGGTGCTCGACAACACTAGCGGGTGCTCGACCAAGGCGGTGAGTGGTTCACTACGGAC